TCGTTTGAAAAAAATTGTTTTCTACAGAGATATCGTTTGAGGTGTGGGAAGAGCCAGAAGTCAGAGGGAGCTAAATCTGGTGAATAGACTAGATGTTGCAACAATTCGTACTTCAATTCACTTATTTTAGCAATGGTTTTTTGAGCTGTGTGCACAGGTGCATTATCTTGGTGGAAAATGATTTTCTTCTTCTGTAATCCGGGTCTTCTTTCACGAATTTTTTCGTCTAATTGATTCAAAAGGTTACAATAATAATCCAAATTAATAGTTTTGCCAGTTTGAAGGTAATCTATAAACAAAATTCCTTTCGCATCCCAAAAAACTGATGCTAACACCTTCTTGGCTGATTTTTGCACACGAACTCGCTTCGGCGCCGAAGAGCCGGGTTCACACCACTCCTTAGCCTCCTGGTAAGCAGTTTGAATTCAGGATCATGATGGTAGACCCAAGTCTCATTAACTGTGATAAATCAACGGATAAAGTTGCTTTTATTCTTCTTAAAACGCTCCAAATGTTGCTGGCAAAGTCGCATCCGAATGTGTTTTTGCTCCATCGTTAGAGAATGTGGCACCCATTTTGCACAGAGTTTTTGAAACCCAAATTAACACTCAAAATATTGCTCACTGTGCCCAATGAAATGCCTAAAGCCTCTGTTAAATCTCTTTCAGTCAATCGACGGTCTTCCAATACCATATCTTGTATTTTTCCGATGATTTCCGGTGTTGATGCAGTTTTTGGACGTCCCTCTCGCGGATCGTCTTCAAGGCTGGTACGACCACTTTTGAATAAACTAGCCATTTGCAAACCATTGTTTTTGCAGGAGCAGATTCAACCAATGCATTCAACATTTCGGTATGATTTTCCATTGCCTTTAAACCTTTCTTTACAAGGAATTTAATAACTTCACGTTGCTCAATTTTATCCATACCTTAAAGGCAGAACACGTTATATATAAAGGGCGGTTAAACAATGAATAAATTAACAGATCGAAATGAAATTTTTGACGTGTTCCTAAGAAAGAAGAAATATGAAAATGGTGTCGAAGTTTTAGGTCGAATATTGAAGAATAGATGGCGCTCCGCGAACTTATTGAACATCCTTGTAGAACAATGAAATATTATTGTGTTTTTTGAAGTGACAGCTGCAGACATCAAGCACAGACACCATACAGTGATGATTGATTATCAGATGCCCTTGGAGATATCGGATATGTTGCAGTATAAATTCTTTTATTTCAAATGTGTACACATTGTGTTGTCATCATATTTCGCACCTTACCACTTTGAAGCACTTTGTCGCCTGTAGTCAGCTTCTTCCTCATTCATATATAGTCAGCCTGAATAGTTCTTGAAAGAAGCATGTAAGTAATTGTAGCAATTTTGCATTCTGTCACCCACAACTGCTTCTACTACAGCACATGTCTTGTGATACTACTTTTATCAGACATGCCAAGCCAACTTACTAGGGAAATCGTCAGTCAGTTGATTGCTATCTTCCCTTTTTTGTCAACACTAGACTCTGCCTTATTTCATGGTTTTCACTGACTAAATGTAGTTTGTAATAAGACGTTCCATAGCAATTATTGTTCCTTTTGATGCTTACTGTCACTCCTCTGAGTTTGTTGTAATATGAATAAAACACTTGCAAAAATAATGGAAACAAAACAAATGTATATACACACATGTGCCTAGTCATGTAAAAGTACACCTTTTTTTTTAGAATAAACAATTTCAAACTCAAATATGTAGAAAAACATGGCAATGTAATTCCCATGTTATATGCATTAGGTCTGTGCCAAGTAAACTGAACTATTCAAGGAAATATGGTTTTAATGAAAGTTTCCCGCCATTGCAAATATTGCCTTAGCAAACAATTCCCATTGGCGTAGTTAATCATATTTTGTCAAAGGATTTTTGACATTTGAAAGAAAAAGACTTGCTTTAGAACACTATGTTGTGAAATTTGTGAAAAAATATAGTTATCATTAAGCATAAGATGTCTGAAATGGAACTATCACGCTTTCAAATTAGAACCATCATTTACTTCTGTACAGTTCTGTTGCAAAAAGTCAGCTACAGAATGTCACCAAATCATATGTATACCTTTAGGTACTAATGTTGTATCATATGACATTGTGAAGGTTTGTTGCTGAAAGTTCTGAAATAAGGACTATAACATTCAAGAAGCAGAGCACTCTGGCTGGTATACTGATGATGATGAGGCCCACATGCGAGAACTTGTGGAAGAAGATCGGTATGCAACCACTCAAAATCTTGCTAAGGAGTTAAATGTCAGTGCCATGCCCATTAATCACACTATGCATCGCATAAACTTGATGTACAAGTTCAATCGCTGGGTGCTGCATAAGCTGACACAAGCAGATAAGGATAGACTGTATTCGAGCCTACTGCTCAAATATCAGTGCAAGGTCAAAATTCTGGATTGGATCATCACTTGTGATGAAAAGTGAATTTACTTCAAACATGCAGGCTGACAAATGGGTTCGTCTGTGCCTTGTGAGCCTGTCGGCAGCATTGCAAAGCACAATTTCACTAACAAAAAGATCATGCTGTGTATGGGATGGGATTGCTATGGTATTTATCCATAAAGAATATCTAGAAAAAGGTAAACGTCATGACAGAAAGGTGTGTCAGTGAGATGCTAGTCCATGTTGATGCTGCTATCAAGAAAAAAACACCAAACTGAGTTCTGGTGCAAAAAGGGTGATGTTTCATCAAGATAATGCAAGACCACATGTGTCTGCATTCACCAGCTGAACTCTGTACAGACTTGACTGGACGTTTTGCCCCACCCACCATACAGCCCCAACATCGCTCCTTCTGACATCTTTTTTCACATTTGCAGCTACATCTTAATGGTGCTATCTTCCATTCTGCACAAGTCACCCAAAATAAGGTTGATATCTTTTGGACTCCTTCCTGGCCACCAAGTTTCTGGGCCGAAGGCTTTGAAAAACTACCAAAATGTGTCAGAAAATCATAGATTAGGGTGGTGATTACTACCTGCGCTAAAGATACTGCTTTTACTTATTTGCCCCCCCCCCAACTTTGTTAAGAATGTTTTTTGGCAGAAAACTTTCGCTGCAACTAGCTAAAAGTCACTGATATACGTCTTAGTAGAAAAATTGGGCAATTTTGTTAAATATAACGCAGGAACAAAACAAGGTAGAAAAAAGTGCTGTTGTGAATTTTCCTCCACCTTCTGATCACTGTGAGTCTACAAATGCACTTATGTGCAGGAATTAACAGTTACTCATCATCAGGTATTATTTCATTTTAGAAGGTATTGCTGTGATGAATGACATGCTTGTTCAAAATTTTCTGCTCTTATCAAGATGTTAATCCATATGCTTCATGCTTCTGCGTTGTGCTTAAACTTGGAATGGCAAAGGCATATTCCAAAACTTTAGAGTAGGGGTCATTGTGGTCCAGATATAGCTGGAATTCCAGATTTTTTACTTTCTCAGATCCAAAATTTCTGGATTTGTGAAATGTAGACTCTGTAATCAGGAATTTTTAAAATGAAAATCCCTTGCAAATTTTGTTTTTAGAACAAATGTATCATCCAGAGTTTACATAAAAAAACTTTTAGGCTATAAAATGTTCAGTGAGAGATGAAACATCTTATCTGAGCAAACTAAGTTTATCTTATATAGAAAAGTTATTTTTGCTGTTTGTCTTCTACAGAAACAGAAAAAATTGACATTGTTGAGTTTGGGGCTGAAGTATTCAGACTAAAAGAAGACAGCGAGCAGAAATACCTTATTGAAAAAAATTGATTGAATCTCTTTTAACTTGGTCCCATGGATCATTGGTGAATATTCAGTTTTGTTTTATCAGTTATATTATCTCAGCATGAACAGCAATAGATTAGATGGTGCATATAAGTTCTTAGTATATAAAACTGTATATGAAGCTTTTGTTTCTGATGACTACTGGTAAGAGTTTAGGTATAATTTATTATATAACTGGACAGCTTACTGCACGTCTTCATAATTAATGAATCATTCTATTCCTTCTAGCACTTTCTCATCTCCAACAATTGTCAATGCATATTGCAAATTCTAATCTAATACAGTCAAAAGTCGTTAATTCGGATATCCATAATCCGGAATGATCTATAATCCGGCCTTCAAAGCTACAAACTTTCTGCGCATGCGTCGAGTTGCACGTAAGACCTTTACGGCTACGAATATGCATGTGCGCGTGCGCAAAATACGTTTACGAATGCGCGTTTAATGTGTAACAGACGGTATAAGCTAAGCTAAAATTATCTAATTCAGTTAATGTTGAAAATTGCATTGTTCCTTAATCTTTGAATTGGATTCGGCTTATTATTTTTGCAGATGTTAGAAGCAATTTATAAAACCAGCTTGAACTTTCGATTATGTAAATGAATTTCTGATATATATTTACTAATATGTAAAAGATCTACAAAGCAAAAGTATTGTTTCGAAGGCATTAAACAAAGTGGAATTGCTGCAAAAAATGTTTAGGCATATCTTTTGTTATCTAAACTTAAATTTGTTTATCTAAATTTTTTTATCTTTAACGCCGCGGCGGGCAATGAATTGGAAGTGATTGTCAGCACTATCCTTATCTTCAGGGCAATGTTTTTATTTATTTGTCTTATAATCCTTACTAAATGTAGTATTTCATCTCGATGTACTCCGTCTTTGATATGATTTCAATGAAATTCCTCGTCATTATAATTCGATTCCGATAGTGAAGAAAGTAACAGAGGTTATTGAAAACGAAAAATTTCGATTGACAAATTAGTCGGTATTCTCCACACAGCAATTATAGGACTTGAACAGTGGAACTTTGTAACTGAACAAGAAATTATGTTTGTTTATAGAATTAAAGAGAATGTATTATCACATAAAAACGAAGCAACTTAAACAAACTTACATTGAAAGAAATGTTTAATAAAGTAAACAAATATTAAGTTTTTTTTTTTTTTTTTTTGTAAATTTGATACCCTTTAGATCATAATTGTTCTTTATTTCATAAATTACTGTTCATATTTTTAATTTTATAATTTGCATGCTATCTTACCAGATTTAAACTGATGATCTATAATCCGGAATCGCTGAAGTCCCGACGAATCCGGATTAACGACTTTTGACTGTATTTGTGTAGAAGACCATTGTTTACATCAGAAGGTCTTGCTGATCATGCTGAATTTTCAGTTGTTAGTAAAGAAACATATAAATGCAGTAATTCTTAGAAAGTACCCTCTCTAAAATAAAGAAATAAACAGCCCAGCAATTAATTACAAAAATTGTTGAGAAACTAAACAGATGTACAACTGTGGGAATTGATGTTGCAAAACATAAATTCTTAATAATTTTTTTTTTTCACTTTGCTAGTGAAACAGTTTGAAAGTAAGTGTTTCAGAACAATATTCAGAATTATCTGAAATTATGTTAAATTTTTACTGCTTGTTTATTTTGCTGGATTTTTTATATATGGGGTCGCAATCATCCTCCCTCCCTTAGAGCTTTTAGAATACCTGAATGTCTAGGCCTGTAAAATTGAAGGTATTATCAACCACCTGTATTATAATATTTAGCACTTGCAGTGTAGGATGTGCAATGAATACTGTTAAGTAATAGCACGTTATAGTGAGTGTGATGATAATGCATTAAATACTAAGCAGCTTCCCGAGTGTTTTCCATTTACACACCCTCATTTTTGTAGTTAATTTTTCATATTTGAACGATCGTATGTTTTGTTTTAGGATATAAAAATTCACTATAATCATGTTTATGGAAAACCAGTGGATTCTGTAGGTGATTAATGGTGTCTACATGGTGCTTGCCGTGCCTTAGTGTATTTCTAAGGATTAATTTTTTGTAAATAGATAAAGCTGTATATTTTTTTTATTGTCTTGCTGTATTGCAGCTTTAAATTTAGTTCTCTAATTTTCCTTAGGGTATACTGAACTTGTTTTTATCAATAAGGCAAGCCCACTTCACATGACAAATCTGATTTGTAAATTCATTTATTCTTAAATTAAAAAGTGTATGTATAGACTTTTCTTTAAACCTTTCATGTGTATGTGTAGACTTTTCTTTAAACCTCTCATGTGCATGTAAGAAGTGAGAATGTTTTAAACAAAATTTCTTTAATAATATTTTAACATTTCTACAATTAAGCAGATTCATATCCAATATCAGACATATTTCTATATTAATGTCACACATATTTTCCCTCCTATTAGAGCTAAATGCTTCCTTACTTTGGGATGCTCTTGTGCATTATTTTGATGGAACATGTGTGCCATTATCCAAAATGATTCACACCAAGGATGTAGAGGTAAGAAATAAAATTATATGGTATTTTTATTTCATGTAATATGCATGGGAACAGTTTTTTTTTTTTTTTTAATTGTAAGCTGTGTTTAGTCTTTCATTTAAAGTAGTTGCTTTTAGAACATGGTTGCCATGCTACGTGGAATGTTCAGGGAATTCGAAAATTGATAAATAAACTCGGGGAAAAGTCAGGGAATTTCGTATGGCGATCCCCCAAAAAGTGATTTTCGTGCCAACGTTGGAAGCAATCACTTTCTTGGCAAATCATGTGTCGTGTGGGTGTCATTCAGACAGCTGGTGTAAGGCCAGTTTTTGCAGTGCCAATCATATTATCTTTTAGATAGGCAAAGCAAGTTTCCAGCAGGTTTTTAGTAACCTTGAGAATCCAGAGATTGACATACGCATGTGCTGTGCATATTAAATGAAAGTAAATCCCCCCTCCATTTTCGTATGAAAAAAAATCCTTTAAACCTTTTTTTCTTTCTAAAATGCCTTATTTGTCATTATTCAGTAAAATAATAATAAAAAAAATACTAATCAATCATTTAATATATCTATACTCTCGAAAATACCGTCAATTTTTGTAATTTAATTTTCAATTCTGAAGTAATTAACTTTATTTTAACATTATTTGTATCATTTAATGAGTCTTTTTCCATTTAAAGTTATGTATTTAGTTAATAATACTTTTATATTTCAGGCAATCTGCAGCATTCTTGTGAAACTAATCCTAGCAGTATGATGACATACAATCACGCACATATTTTTTATTTATATATGCTGCTAAATAAATATAAAATATATGAATTTATTTAAAAATATCATTAAATAGATTTTTTTTTCTTTTTTTAACTGCAAAATGTCTGCAGAAAAGACATTCTTTTAATCCTGATCGGGCAGATTCTAATCCCAATCCTCAGTAGGGGGAAAAAAACTCTTAGTTATAGAAGTGATGAGGTATTATATATCAGTCGCTTACACTTAGCTGACACCAGTTAGCCGACAGGTCATTTAGCCGACAGGACATTTAGCTGACAAGGACACTTAACCATTAGGACATTTAGCGACAATGAGTCTCGCTCTTCCCAATGCTTTCAGATTTCTAATACTTTTGCATTTCATTACTACTTTATTTAACATGTTGTGCTACATTCATTCCCATATAAAGTCATTTCGCTCCTCCCACTAATGAAATTTCCTTTCCCTGTCAGAAAGTAGAGTGATTCGGCCCACTCCTTGCTACATTGGAACTACTTTTTTTTTTTATCTGAAATGTTATTTACACGTTAGGCATTAAATATTTATTAATCTGGGATAGGGCTCCAGCTCAAGAATTAATGCCTTGTGGCTTGCAGCCACTAACAGAGGTAGGTTTGATTTCATTTGGTTTATGTAATTATGGCAAAGCCAGAGGGCTATCTGCCTAAGTGAAGGGATTCCTTCCCTTTCGATTCTTAAAAATTGGGGAGTACTTTCTAAGGAAAACTGGCTCATTCCATGAAGAAGCTTTATGGTTTTTACAGATCCCATATTAAAATGTAACTAAGTGACCTTCGTACTTAGCTAAAAAAAAAAAACTTTTTTCCTTTCGAAAATTAATTCATATTCCCTGATGAGAAATTTCAACGCTTTTTTCAATTTGGCCAATTTACACAAAACAGCACAATATATATCAAACTATGCTAAATTACACAAGAATTAAAAGCACATATGTGGTCTTTAAGAATCAAAAAAGGAATTTTACTGATAAAAAGTACTTAAACAGTGAACTTAGGAGAAGTTGAGAAATTTTGTAATTGATAGTAAGTTTGATCTTTAAGAATCGAAAAAGGAATTTTACTCATAAAAAGTACTTAAAAAAAAGTACTTAAACAGTGAACTTATGGAGAAGTCAAAAAATTTTGTAATTGATAGTAAGTTTAAAGAACTTATTGGGTATGTGTCGGCTTAATGTCCTGCTGACTCAATGTCTTGACAGTTAAATGTCCGTACGGCTAAGTCTCTGTAACAGCTAAGTGTCCTTTTTGGCTAAATGTCCTGTCGGCTAACTGTCTTTGTTGGCTAAATGACCTATCAGCTAAGTGTCCATGTCTGCTAAATGTCCTGTTGGCTAAGTGTCCGTTTCGGCTAAATATCCTGTCGGTTGAGTGGCTAAGTGTCACGAACCCTTTATATATATAAGTCATATGTAATTGGCAAACTATGTAAAATCCATAAAATCAGACCAAATATTCTTTATGTTATTCAATATAGAGACTAATACTAACCTTCAAGATACAATACTAACTTTCAAGTAACCCATTAATTTCATAAATAAAATTTTCATATAAAGATATTTCTAACTTTTTGAGGGGGGAGGGCTAAGTGTACTTATTATTCTGTGAAATAATATGGCTGTTGATTAAAAAATATAGTGTTTAGCAATCGGAATAGCCTTTTCCATTTAATATGTTATTTTACAGTTTGCCAGAATAATGAACTCTGATCTTTTGAACTTCAATCATGTAACTGATGAACAACATACTGTTGAACAGTGACAGAATATTAAACCATATTCACACATCTTTAGAAGATCTTTCTTGTTTATATTTACCAAAAGACAAAATGTCTCTCTCTCTATATATGTTGTTGTTTTTATACATTGAATTATTTCATACATCAAACATTTGAAACAGAAGTTTGATATCTGAATGAAAAACTATGCATCCTTTTTAATATGTTTTTATTTTCTTCCTCCCCCTTTTTTAATATGTTCTGACTATAACTTTTCAAGTTGCAGTGTCTAAAAGACTGTTGTATGTTTGTGTGTAATAAAAGTTTGAAATGATTTTAGGTAAATGTTCAGATTTTAATTTATGATTAATTAATGACTTATTGAAATAATTGTAGGAAATTTCAAAAGAAGGTTTGGAACTCTTGCAGCTGTTAATAAGTTTCACTTCTCAGGTATGCTTCTGTTTTAAATTAAGGAATTATAGGAAATTGAAGTACTTATGTATTAACTGCCATTAGGAACTTTATTAAATATCAGAGCAACTTTAGCTATGATATGGGTATTGGAGGCTTTGTTTAGCATGTATAAATAGTTTTAATAACAGTCTTGGTAGCTTGCTTTTAGTTATTATTCCTGATGAATTTTACTTAGCTATTGCATTTAAAATAGCTAAATGTTACACTACCATAACATGTTCCCTTTAGGCATATAAAATTTCACTGTGATGAAGTAAAAACATTCTTGACTGTTCGGCATTATTCTGTGATCATAACAAAAAATGATTATTTTCATTTTGTTATATCACAAATCTTGGGAGACTTTTAAGAAAATACCATATGCAGAAAACTCAAAGAATGGAACATACTTGAATAAAATTGAGAGCTGGTTAAAAGGAAAGATATTAAAAATCTGGGGCTTAGTTGCACCAAGGAGGCAGACTGTTACTGCTAAGTTATAACCACTTTGGTGCCAACCCAAAATTGAGAAACACTGGTGTAGAGCATGTATAATATTGTAGTAGGGAACTTAATTGGTAACAATTCATTTGAAGGACTATTAAGAGATATCCAGTAGTTTTATTGCATTATGTACCTCATTTCATGCTTTGTAAGCAGAATGAAACCAATATGCTAATCATGCTTATAAAGCCTGGATTCTCCCAATGGGGATATAATTCTTAACTTGATTTATTGGTGCAAGATGCATATGAATTTTCCTATTGTTGCTGATGTGAAAAGAAACACTTCATAAAAATTCCAAGTATTTTCATATACATAATCATGTTAAAAAACAATAATTATGTTAGTTTACATTTATAAACAGATGCTTTTTCACGGTTATAATAAAAAATGGTAAAAAAAAAATCAAAGTATTTTTCTATTGCCAAGTTAGGGCAGTTTTAAAAAAAAATTTATAGAATTAATTCCTTCAAATAATAAAACCTCAGTTTTTAAAGGATATCCAAGAAATAAAATTGACCCTTTTAAAAAAGAAAGCAAATGAAGTGTCTTTATCATGCAGAAACATATTCAAAGCATATGTAATGCACTTTTATCAATCTCTAGCTTCTCCTTCTGTTATGTGTAGTATGTGCTGTTACAGTTCTAGCACTATTTTGTTGTTCGCTTTTTTTGTCTAGAAAGGTAGCCATTTTATTATCCCTCTTTTTCTTTTGAAATATAATTATTCTTAAAAATTAAATAAGGTAGTTTGAAATTCATCACGCTATGTAATTGTATACTATTAAATTGAAGACATCAGAGGCATTGAAAATGAAAGAAAGTGTACTAGGTTGGTGTACAGTCAAAAGTCGTTATTCCAGACTCGTCGGGACTTCGGTGATTCCAGATTATAGATCATCAGTTTAAATCTGGTAAGATGGCATGCAGAAATTATAAAATTAAAAATATGAAACCATAATTTATGAAATAAAGAATAATTATGATCTAAAGGATACCAAAATTTACAAAAAAAAAAAAAACTTAATATTTATTTGTTTACTTTATTAAACATTTCTTTCAATGTAAGTTAAGTTGTTTCGTTTTATGTGATAATGCTTTCTCTTTAATTCTATAAACAGACATAATTTCTTCTTCAGTTACAAAGTTCCACTGTTCAAGTCCTATAATTGCTGTGTCGAGAATACCAACTAATTTGTCAATCAAAATTTTTTCGTTTTCAATAACCTTTGTGTCACTTTCTTCTTTATCGGAAGCGAATTATAATGATGAGGAATTTGATTTAAATCATATCAAAGACGGAGTACACCGAGATGAAATACTACATGTAGTAAGGAATTATAAGCCAAATAAAATAAAAACATCTGCCCGGAAGATAAGGATAGTGCTGACAGATTAACTTCCAACCATAATTCATTGCGTTCATTCATTGCGCGCCGTGGCGTTTCCCTCCCCCCTTCCGCACCGCAGAGCAGTGTGAAATTGATAAACAGATTTCGGAATGGTTAGAGAAACGAAGGATATGCCTTTATCCATTTTTCCAGCAATTTCACTTTTTGTTTAATGGACTTCGAAACATACTTTTGCTTTGTAGATCCTTTACATATTAGTAAATATATATCGGAAATTCTATTTGACATAATCGAAAGTTTAAGCGTACTTTTATAAAATTGCTCTAACAGTCTGCAAAAAATAATAAGCCGAATCCAATTCGAAGATTAAGGAACAATGCAATTTTCAACATTAACTGAATTAGATAATTTTAGCTTATCTTATACCGTCTGTTATACATTAAACATGCAAGCATAAACGTATTATGCGCATGCGCACACGCATAATCGCAGCCGTAAAGGTCTTACGCGTCAACGCGACGCATGTGCAGAAAGTTTGGAGCTTTGAGGTCCGGATTATAGATCATTCCGGATTATGGGTGACTGAATTAACGACTTTTGACTGTATATGGTTTTACATGTTCAACACTAGCATTACGGCATGTTGTTTTTCCGTATACCTAATAACTATAATCACCGGTCATTTTGACCACTTATTCTGAATAGAAGATAAGTTTCACATTTTGCTAATATCTTGTAAAGGTAATGATTATAACGCTACATTTTTCTTGTTTAATAAGTAGATAAAGTAAATTGACTAAATGCATTCAACCAAAAGATAATGTAATGTAAGAGTGAAATAAAGCAAAATGAGTAAATTTATTAATCGAAGGATAATTTAATATAACAAAGAGCTAAAAGAGAAATAAAATCACTAGCGATATTTTTAAACTTATGATTTAATAAATTGCCTCATAAAATTTTCAATATGAAATAAATATGTTAAAAATTACACATATTAGTACTTACATTACTTGGTTTTGCAGTGTATACAGACTACTAATTTTTTAATTTTACCTGTATAGGTTCGACAAATATATATTTTTTACACAGGATTCGTAGCGGTCCTTACAAGTGCTTATAAGTCTGTATATTTGAAAATAAAATATAAAAGCCCTTATAGGTGCTTGCTTTTTCTCTAAAGTATTTTTTTTTTATTGCTTATTTTTTGCTTTTAGTGCTTTTTTTTTAAACGAGTGCACATTTTTTCCCCGTACCAAAGCCAAAACTAAATAAACAACTTTTCTTCCTTATATGGAATGTCAGATGGTGAATCATACTCCCAGAAATAGCTTTTCTCCCCTTTTTCTGCTTTAACATAACCTTTGGTGCGTGCAAGTACAGACTGGTGCACATCGATCTATTGGTCAAAGAATTGCGGAAAACGGTAGAAAATTCCGGTACATTCAGTTTTCTTTTGCTCCCACCCAATACTACACACATTTGAATTTCTATAAAGATTTTAATAATTTGCATTCTTGTTCCGCATGATCAGTTCATATTCGCATTTATTATGATCGGTATGCTTATATTATGAAAATATGTATGAATATTTATAATATATTTGCAGTAACTGTTGAGGTATAAAACTTCAAAAATGGGTAAGTGTGTTTTAACTCAGATTAGTTTAAGGAATAAAATTCGGAATGGCGTAAATAAAGTGAAAGTAATTGAATAGTCAAAATAATTTCTTTTTTTTCCCTCCTATCTTTCTCTCTTCCCCCCCCCTCAATGCATTATACAGTACAGATGTTGGGGCTTCTCCCCTTTCTCTGCAAAATTTCGAATATTGAAACCATTACCGTTCGCAAAGCAAGCAACGGACTTTTTGGGGGGGGGTCACTTTCCAACCTGGATTGAATAGGACTAAAAGTTTTGCAGTCTACCAAACCAAGCGAAGAATGATTCTATTCCAGAAATTTAACGCAGTCTGTTCAAAATTAGAATGAAAAACACCCAAGATTGATAAATCTCTTTATTAATCAATATGAGTATGGCAGGGATATCATGCGGAGAATGACGTGTTCTGCTCAATGATAAATATGCCACATGGGCGCATGATGGTGAAATACTGACGAAGCAAGGGGGCGTTTTCCTTTATTTAGTTATTTATTCTCTGAATACTGGCAGCTGTTGATTCCGATTGCATAATATCACGTGCGGAAGAATTAAGGCGCACAAAGAATTATTGCGCACTAACGTTTGCAATATTTCGCAGAGGTAAAAAGAGTTTTATTGTGCTTTCTAAGCAGATTATTTTTTGGTTCCCTTGGGCTATTTTTTATATGATGCACATATCGTAATGTCAAAAGCATTATTTAGCTGGAAAATCTAAAGAACAGCTACAGTCTACCCCCCTTCCTCTTTTACCAGTTACGCTCGACTATCCGGAATTTTCAGATATTCGGCAATTTTCAAGTATGCCGGTTAATTAAGCTTTTACTGTTAAAGAATGACTGCATGAAGTAATTTCCCGTCTTCTGATTTCAGAAAAGTTCCTTTTTTTACTTATTTTTATTTAAATTACTTCGCTTGCAATATCTGTTAAGGGAAAACTGTTATACAATGAAAATTTAGAAAATGTTCAGAATTTTGATTTAAGTTAAATTATTTAAATATTAATATGAGTGGAAAAATAAGGTGCCAAGCGAATATAATAAATATGGCTTATTATTATTTATTTTCTCTATTTTGATCTGAAATTTCATCATTAAATCTTGTAATATAATTTAGTTCTGCATAGTTTTTTCCCTCTCATTGTAAACTAATTCTGTAAATTGAACTGTTATTTAAAATTTAAAAAGAAAAGAATGTAATTGTTTTCCATGGTTGAGTAATTCTCATTTTCTCGTAATAAATACTGAATTTCTCATATTTTAAATTACAAGTCTAATTTTTCTTTTAAGGTTATGCAGACAGGTGCTTACTTTTTTTTCTTATAATGTGCTTGAAAAGCGCTTATAGTACTTATTTTTTTAACTAAAATGTGGCTATGAACCCTGCAAGTATTGACACATATTCAAAGTTTTGATTGGCAAAGAATTTGGAAATGTCCCTTTTTATGATTGGTGATTCTAACTGATAATTTTCTGGATGTTGTACGGATAATTATATGGATATTCTGTGCTTGTATCTTCATTGCAGATTGGGATTGGATACGCATCAGATCTATCTATTGTGGCAGCATCTGTTTTCTTTGCTCTTAACTATATCCAGATGAATATATCATCTGGATATAGTTAAGAGCAAAGAAAACAACATCTAGGAAATTATCAATAAGAATTGCCGAGTATAAGAAAAATTTACTAACTCTTTGCCAATTAAATTATGTCCATGAAAAATAGCTCTTTTTTGCTTAAATACTCCTGGTAGCATCCAAACTCAGTTAATGAATGGGACAAAGCCAAAACCATAAACAAACCTTAGGGTAAAATCCACTTCAAAATCAGAGAAGTGCTAGAAATAGCTACTAGATTGTATTGCAATAAAGACCTTTCTTTCAACATACCATATAAATGGACATCAGTTCTGAGAAATATAGCAAATCTACAGAAAGCAATTAAAAAGGGAGAATTTGATCGAGCCTTTCTTTCTTGCTTCAGCTGATGAAGCAGGTAGATCATCTGCAGAAACTCCTATTTTCTTGTTTAGACATTTTGTACTAAAGATAATAACAATATTAATTAAATACTTTTGCAAATCCAGTATAATTCTCACCTCCTCGGTTTTATTTTGAAATACCATAGGAATAATATTTATTATGAATGATACAGTGTTATAAATTTCTTAATGGCTTAAATACTAATTCCCTACGTGTATTTTCTTTTATTTTCGTTACAGTAGCAAGTAAAGTTTTTAAGAATATTCTTAGCAATTGCACTGTATTTTGCAATAAATGCATTAAATTATTCAGTTACTGAATTTAATAACTAGTTCATTATATTTGGTCAGGAAGATTAAGAAATGAATTATTATTTAAAAGTACTTAAATTTTTAATATGTATATTTAAATGTTTGCAAACTTTTGTGTTATTGAAATGCTTTCAGGTTTTATTCTTTCATTTTATTTTATTTATTTATGTATTATTTACTTTATAGGACCCTGTGATATTATCCCTCGCTCTTTCATGCATATCTTCATTATTCTTCTTTGTAACCTTTTCATCTGAAATGCAGTTGCCTGTACTGAAAAAAGTGAGTCATGATATTTATGAATAATTTAGCCTTTTCAAAAACTGAAAGATATTATTAGGTACTACTTCCTTATTTTCTTAAAAAGAATTACGACTTAATTTTAAAATATGCTGCTTTAGCATTTTATTGTTATATTAACAAGGTATTATTATTAGTTTTATTATTATATTATTAGTACTAAATTAACAAGATTTTCACGAACTGAAAAACTTAAGTGTGAAATGGGGTATTTTCTGCACAAAATTTCTGCAATGTTAGTTCTATAGACTTTAAATAACCTGATGTTTGAAGGAATAGTAATATTTAAATTTTATTTGGTATATCTTTGAAGAGATGATCTGTTTAAAAGGAAAAAAGTGACATTTTTAGGTTCTCTATTTAAGTAAAGGGCTGATCTTAATGTAAGACAGTATACAGACCTTGAAAAAATCTTGTATGAAAATAATACAGATATTATATGCATAACCTAACTGTTAAAAATACATTATGATAACTTCTTCCTTAACTTTTGCAACACAGCCTCATAATTAATGTCTTTTTTATCTTTGTGCTTGAAAATGATTTGCAAAACGTAATGATTTCTGTATAGCTGATGAAAGCATTATAGAAAGTAGATGGTTATTGATAAGATGTGAACAACTTATATTGCATAATGTTATATATATGAATGTGTTTGTGTGTATATATGTATTCTGAATTTGTTTCACATCAGTGGAAAGGACTGAATGCAAGTAGTTATGCATATTTAAACAGGAAAAATATATTCCATATACATGAATAAAAAATTGTATAATAATATATGTAGCTGTTAAATGTACATACAATGTTAAAATACTGAAAGTATCTATTATAATGTACCTTTGCATCATTAAAATAATTTAGTATACATAAGATATTTGAGCATCTGTTTATTAATATGTAATTTTATTTTTCTGCAGATTTTTTCAAACCTGACCTGTTTCTCTATTCAAGAAGGAAATACATTTACTAAAGAAATGACAAGTTTGAGAAGACATGTATCAGCATTATTAATCAAACTTTGCTCATGTTATCCTAAATTATTGTTGGTATGTAAATCTTGAATAAATTAAAACATTCATATTTTGAATTAAATTGAGCTTAAAGTAATGGTCATGGTGTTATGCTATAACTTTGTTTTTGATTTTTAATTCTGTTTATGAAGATGTTTACATGTTACTGTTTTTCATAATAAATAAATGTATAAATTCAGTGCTTTTATTTTTACTTATTATTTATGTGTTTGTTTTCTATTTAGCCTTCATTTGACTATATGTGTCAGCATGTCCAAAAACTTGCCCAGACTCCTGAGATATTGTCTCAGTTTGATAAATGTAATTTGTTGGAAGCTTTGATGCTTCTTAGGTAAATATTTATGAAATTTTATTACCTTTAACATGATGAATATTTATTATTTTGGCGTTTCATAAACATGCTTTTAAAATTTATATTTCTTATTATGCTTATAATTTTTTGTACTGAAAAGTATTTTGTGTTGATTTAGATGAATAATTGGTGTGTTAATTCATTACTGTAAGGTACTTATGAATTGTTTGCCCAAGAAGGGGAATGCTTTGATGAGGGATTAAAAGGTGATTCATTTTAACTTAACTGCGAAAATCCTCAAACACTATTAGGTAGAAAGATACTATTTGGAAAAATCGTCAAGTACCCATGGAACTAGTCTTTTCAGTAGTTGAAAACTGGAGGTAGGATGAATTTCTACTGTTATGTCAACTTGAATTGAGTCATAATAGCTTCATCAATAGTTGAAATAGTTAAACCACCTTCATCAGCAATTAAAACTTAAATTGCGATAAACTTTTGCTGTCTTCCCAAGGTGTCATTTATTGGCAGATTAGAAAGTGTATCACGTTTATGTTGCATGTAAGAGAGACACAAATATCTCATGAAGCCAGCTCATTCAACAGCTGCAAATTGAATTTGGGATAAATTTCATATATTTCATGACTTGGTCCATTGTATTAGGAGGTAATTGTATAAGATTTTAGTAATTATTTTCTAGTTATAAAATTAGGAATTGTCTTTTTTTTATTTCAGCAATGAACTTTGCAATTATGAAAAGCAGTTGGAATTTTTAACTCAGATGATTTCACCAATTATAGCTGTATGGTTATCAGATAATATGAAAATGTAAGTGTATTTTTAATGATTAGAAAACTTTTATATGATTATATTTTAGAATATTCTTAGATTAATTTTAATTATTTTGAAACTACCCCCCCCCAGTGAGCTGACAGCTTTTTGCATTGTTTATTACTGTGGGTTATCGGTTAACGAACATAATCCATTCCAAGATTATGTTCGCTATCCGAATTGTTTGTTAACCGATCACTGATTTACCATATATGTTAATGGGAATTCGTTCTGGAGATCCTAAAAATTAAATTTTAAAAAAATGTCATGTACAAGTATAATTTCTTAGTAAGTTTATTTATTACAAATGTAGTCTTACTTATCAATCAGTCCTTTTTTTTTCTGTGGGTGTTAAAGAACATGTCCATTGTCGTTGTAGAGATTAGCAACCCTATTGACATCAGCTTGGTTTAGGTGCCATTTTAAAACCGTAGCTCTGGCATCCTCCCACTTCTTCAAAAGATCTTTAATGGCAGATGTTGGCATTGCTCTTCTTTCATCTTCCTCTTTTTCAGAAGGAAACACATTTTGCTGAGTTTCTTGGTATTCTTCATTGAAGATTTCTTGGAGTTCTTCTGCCATCAAGTCACCTTCATGTTCCATTATGAGCTCTTCAATGTCATCCTCGTTCACCTCCAATTCCATATCTCTCGCGTTGTTACAATTTCATCCATAATTTCAGGGTGTCACCCTGATCAAATCCGTCTCCTTGAACGAGGGATGGATACAGCTTTCGCCAGGCAGAAACCAACTGTCGTTGAGTGATTTCTGACCATGCCTTTTCAATAAGACGAATAGCTACGAGAATGTCAAATTTTTCTATCCAAAACGTTTTTTTAAAGTCATTTTTGAGGAGAATTGGCATGCTTCAAAACATCGCCGAAACAGCGCATGAGTGTACAATTTCTTGAAACATGCAATAACCTCTTGATCCATTGGCTGAATCAGTGAAGTCATATTCGGAGGTAAAAACTGCACTGTCAGCCAGGGAAAGTCTATCAGCAAATTATCTTCTAGGTCCTTTGGGTGCCCTGGTGCATTGTCCCAGCAGCAGCAATGCTTTGAATGGCACGTCATTGATATCAAGGTGCTTGATGCTCGGGGCACAAACTTCAAATAGCCACTCTTTGAAAAGAACCTGCGGGACCCATGCCCTCTGATTCGATCTCCACATCAGTGGCAGTTTTCTCTTGATTATGGAATTTTGAATGCTCTAGGATTCTCAGAGTGATAAATGAGAAGTGGTTTAAGCTTCATATCACCACTAGCGGTAACTCCCAAAAGTAATGTTAATCGGTCTTTCATGGCTTTATGCCCAGGAACACTTTTCTCATCTTTCGTGATATAGGTATGGTTCGGCATGCACTTCCAAAACAAACCAGTTTCATCACAATTTAATATTTGTAGTAGACAATACCCTTCTCTTTCAATGAATTCTTGAAATTTGAGACGGAACTTCTCAGCTTCTTTATCTGTACTAGCAGACTCACCATGCATGACCACATGTTTAATGCCAGGCCTCCTTTTAAACTTTGCAAACCAGCCAGTGATAGCCTTGAATTCTAGATTTTCGGATGACGAACCTGGAATTTGTTCTTTCAATTTCTCAAAAATTTCTATAGCCTTCTCTTGAAGGATAGCCATACTAGTTACATCTCTTTTCATCTCCCGTTCATTTATCCAAACTAAAAGTAAACTCTCCATTTTTTTCATGGAGGGCACTTCTTTACTTTTCAGATGTAATTTTCTTTACTCCTTTAACGGCTTGAGTCTTCTTAATGATATCTTTCTCAGCTATAATTATGTCTATTGTAGACCTGTTCAAGCCGTACTGCCTAGCAACATCAGTCATTTTTTGTCCACTCTCTACTTTAGTTATAATCTCTTGCTTGGTTTGTATGGTGAGCACAGTTTTTGACACTCCACTCTTTTTAGGTCCCATAATATTGTCAGATTTTCAGGTTTTTTTTTTTTTTTTTTTTTTTTTTTTTTTTAATAAGGCGTTTAGAGAAGCACATATGAAAATCACAAGGACAGAAACCAACTATGGTATACAATTGACAAAGTGTCATCGTACATTACCATACGTGGCGTACGGTGCTGCCTTACTGCTACATAGTATGAATGATGACATGTCAGCGCACGTGCACATACATTTTCAGGATGAATAGAGGACTGGTGTCGGGTGTTCCGAGAGGTTTTCGTTAGAATTAGTTTTTGTTCGTTGTCCGAACACAAAAATCTTTCCTGAAAGTGTTCGTTGTCTGATTTGTTCTTTAAAATCTAAAATATCTCTTCCTTTCATAATAAAAATAATTAAATAGGCAACATATATGTAAACTAAAAACTAGAATTTTAATACATCATTTGAAATAGGGGTAACATTTATTTTTAAAAAATCCATGTCATCTAACTATTATATTTGTTTTAATTAATAACACATGACATAATATTAAAATATTCTCTTATAGGGCAATTTCAACTCCAGAAAACTTTTTAAATTTTGTTGGTTTAAATGAAGAAGCAAATATTGAACAGTCATTAAATAAAAATACATATGAAGTAAGTTAAAGACATTTCTTAATTGGTATTTAAAAATATACCTAGTTTTCCTTTCCCATTTAAAATTAACATTTTCTAAAAACTATCAAAAATTATTTTTAAAAAATTGTGCATATTATTTATTTTTCATATTAATAAATTGTTGTACTATGAAAAAAATGCTTTTAATTAATAAAATATTTTGGCTACATTTTATTGTTATTGTAGCTTATATGTTAATTCATCATTGAAAACTTGCATTCCCAAAAACATTCCATGTGGAGTAAATACATCGCATTATTTCTTATTAGGAAAGATCTGTGGGCAAAGCATTTCTTTTGACTTGTAAATCAGTTTGTTTTGAATAAATGTTTAGTATTTTGTTAACTAAATATTAAGTATAGAAACTGACACATTTTAAAATAAAATTTTATATATTTTTTCTAGCTAATGCTTTGTATACATGTAATTAGAGGCTGTGTGAAGAGATGCAAGTGGCCTAGTGATTCTGATGTAAGTGTACTGTTCTTGTTTGAGCTTATGATAATAGGTTTCTATATGCAATAGCAAAAAAAAAAAAAAAAAAAAAAAAAAAAAAAAAAAAAACCTGTTTTGTTAGAATGTTTTTACAATGATGTAGGTTTGATTTTCTAATATAGTATTTTATCTGCTCTGGAAGGTTTCTTGATATAGTTTCTAATATAGTATTTTATCTACTCTTGAGTTTCAAGAGAGGTAACCCTGGATTCCAAAAATTTGTGGGGAGCCATTTCGACCATTTTCATCTTCATAAGACTTTAATCAATGGAAATATTAATAAAAACTCTGAAAGCGCTAATTTTTGCCATCATTTTTTGGAGTGGCAACAGTCTTGGGAGTCACTAGAGATAAAAATGCTTTACTTCGAAAAGTGTAGCCCGCTCACTTTCAGATCATAGAGTTTGTTAATAAAAAATTTGTTTTACAAAATATGAAATGAAAAAAGCATTACCAAACATTAATTATGTGATTATTATATAATGCCATATTCTAACATTGAAGAAAGCCTGCAATTGCATGTGATGTCATTGTATGTTGAATTTTTTATTAATGTCAGCATGTTAAATAAATAGCTGCTGTCAGTAACCATTTTGTTTCAGGTTATGATATTTGACACTGTAAGTTAGTGACACATTAATTATTTTATTGATATTAAGCAAAAGTTGTTATATTATTAAATTTAATCATGACATCATACGTATACATATTAACCTGATGTGTCATAAGTTTTCGTTCTGTTTTGACTACAAAAAAATTATTTACGAATTGGTTGTTGCTTGGAAAGAAAGAATGGATTTCATTCTTATTGACATGTTTTTATACATTTTCTTTTCAGATGCACATGGAACTTATGAATTTTGCTTTGGCCACAGCCCGCTCATCTGGTGGGCTTGTCTGCTAGTTTTTCTTTAATTGTAATTTTGCTATTTTTCTTATTAGCATCAACTGAAATTCAATTTTCAAATCTTATCTAGATTCAAAAGCAGATTCATTGAAAGTGCATAAAAATATGTATACTGAGATCACTCTGAAATTTTTTAGATATGAGCAGACAAAAAATAGTAGAAAAGAATTAACAGTTAGACTTGAAAATATGAACTATTTTAGCCAAGCAAATGATTTTTTATTGGGCAATTGCAAGCAGTTTAGCTTAGAATAAATTTTAGGCAGAAGGAAAAATAGAATTTGCATGAAAAAATTTTTTAAAATTTATTTATTTCCAATGGCAGATTGTAAACAAATATTGAACAGTCATTAAATAAAAATACATATGAAGTAAGTTTTAAAGACATTTCTTAATTGGTATTTAAAAATATACCTAGTTTTAATTTCCCATTTAAAATTAACATTTTCTAAAACAGTTACAGCAAAAAACAAGAACAAAGAATACAGCAATACAATATAAAAAATAACTGTAACAGAGTCCATTAATCTAACATATTTCTTGCTTCCCATTAACGCTTGGCAAGAAACGTCTTGTACAGAGTAGAACAGTGGAGAAGATGTGCAGCGTCCATCACCTCTCCAGAGCTGCGAAGAGTGCATATCAGAGAAGGAACAATTTTGAATCTATAAAAAAGGTATCGTAGGTAGTCATGTTTGATGGCAAGACGGAATTCAGAGACCACTCTACGCCTTGGGCCATTACACAAATTTGGGATAGTATTTTTCGAAGACTTATGAGAACACGATGATAGAGATCTTCCTGAGCACGTACTTTGAAAGATCTTTTAATAAGATCCTTAACAGTATGAACAGGCATATGACGAGAAATATTCTGCATGATTAAAGCACTCTTTTTTGCCAGGAAGTCGGCTTTTTTCGTTATCTGGAAACCCACAGTGGGCAAGAACCCACTGGAGTACTATAGTTTTTTCTGATGCCAGGGAACATTATCTAAATAATGTCCACATTATCTAAATAATGTGGACAATCCAATATATCCTGTGATATAGGATTTTTATCTGAAACGATAGCCAACAGAGCAGCTTGGGAATCATTGGAGATAACAGCTCTTGTGAATTTTTTTAAGTAGCATGGCAGCTGGGAGCAGAACTGTGTGAATCACAGCAATTTCACCATCAAATGCAGTACCTTGGCCCACAGGAATGTAGAAAGAGAAAATTTCAGAGAAAACTCTGGCACCTGAATTAGGGCCATCAGACAGGAGAGATCCAAAGCCATTCTGGTTCAGGATAAAAAATGTTTAATACTTCGAGAGCGAGGGCTCTCAAAATAGAAGGATCTGTATTACTTTTGGTTACTTTTTGACTCAAGTCAAGATTAATCCAGAAAGATTTCAGATTTATTGGATTTTGTAGTGGAACAAGTAATTCTGGTTCATTCATTAAACCAAGTGAATTTTTTACCTGAAAAACTCCCTATAGAAAGCCCATCTGAGTCTTTAGATTTCTAGTCAGATCTTGATTGACTTCATCCCAGAGTGAAAGACATTCAGGAACTCTAATGATCTTTTCCTAGAGCATTAAGACCTTCTCTTGAATTATGGTTCTTAAGTTTTTATCACCAGCTAACATAAGCATGGCATTAATGTGTCTTTTACTTCTCCAGAAACAATGCGTAAGCACGGATTTTGGATTTTTTCTAGAGTACTTTTTCCCCAGTCATAACAAGTGGTTCACAGCAGTAAGTCAGAAGGGGAAGATTAAACGAATGATAAGTGTGGAGCAGGGTTTGTCCAGTGCAAACCCACCTTGCCCCAGCAAGGCGCTTAAGGACACTGAGACGCTTCGTAGCATGGTTGGACAAATCCTCTACATGTGGCTTCTATGTTAGTTTGTGGTCAAATATCACACCCAAATATTTAAATTTTTGCACATGGGGGTTTGGGTGCTCTTATACGTCAGCTGAAAATCCAAAGATTGGTGCATAAAAGAGAAAGTCAGGCGGTAGGATTTATTTAAGTTCAACTCCGTATTATTAGTATCACACCAAACTTCCAAAGCATTCAAAGTAGCAGAGAGTTTAGTCTCTATGATTCTCACTGCACTTTCTTTTTTAGAAACCATCCAGAAAACCAAATCATCAGCTTACAAGAGGCACTTGAAACCAAAAATTTCTCCTATTTTAGAAATCAAATCATTAATATAGATGTTAAAAAGGGAGCAGCTACTAACAGCTCCCTGTGGGAGACCTGTTTTTAAAATCTCAGATTTTGATAGTGTGTTGCCGTACCTGACTCTGAAAGAGCACTGGCACAGGAAACCTCTAATCCAATTAAAAAGATTTGCTTAAATTCCTAGACCTGTCAGCTTCAGTAGAAGACACTCCCACCATACTTTGTCGTAGGCAAGACTTAATGTCAATAAAAACTGCTGTCAGGACCTCATGTTGGTTAATAGATTTGGAGCTTCTAAACCCCACCTGCTCCTCGGCAAGAAGTCCACAAGTTTCTAAGTAATAATTAAGTCTTCTCACAATTGTTTTCTCCATAGCCTTCCCTACAATACGAGTAAAAGATATTTGTCTATAGTTACGGAGACTATCACAATCATTGTCTTTCTTATGTATGGGAATAATGATAGAAGTTCACCAATTTGCTGGTACAATACCAGTGTTCCAAATTAAATTGTAAAAGATCCAAACAGTGTCAAATGCTTTAGGGCCAAGATGGGAGAGAAACTCGAAATGGGTTCCATCTCCACCAGGTGATTTACCACAAGGAAGGCTTCTTAGAGCATAGGTCAATTCGTCTCGAGTAATGGGTGCCTCAAAAACTGAATCAGTTGAAGATTCAAATTCCAACTGCAGGAGTGTAGTTTTTTGCTTAACTCCGGACAATGTATTTTTGCATAAATGTTTTTATTATTAGCTCTGTGGAAATGCTGTGCAAAAGCATTTACTACAGAAGAATCCAAAGAAAGTTGTTTGTCTTTAACTATGAAGGTTTGTGTATGTTTTTTATCATGAAGGTTTGTTTAGGTGAGCCAGCAGGATCATTCATTAGGTTGCCTACAAATTTAAATGTTCTTTTACTATCCATTTGGTAATTTATATTTCAAATAAATTCATTAAATGCGGATCGTTTACTGCTAATAAGGGCCTTCCTAAAGTATGCAGATTGTTTTCTCTAAGCCTGAACATCGCAAGGTCGGGAGGTCAACTCTGCCTTTCTTCTAAGACTGTCTCTCACCATGTTCTTGATAATTCTATAAACTTTATTAGAATTTAAAGTCAAGTCAAGTCTATCATGATTAAGGCCATGTTCCATCAAGTAAAGAGAGACCAGTTCACTTTCTTAAAATTCCAAAAGATTTTTGATTGTGAAAAGGGCTTCTGATCCACTTTGGGTATTTCAACTTCTGCAAGCACCTTTCTGTGTTGTGATCCAGGGTCCTTCAAGATGCTATGTTTTGTGAGATTGTAAAGGTCAGCAGTGACCATCAACAGATCTGGGGTTGTGCTTTTACCAGTATAATGCAGATAAATATGGAAGCTTTTTTTCATTGTATATTAGTTCAAAAGTAGCCGAGCTCAAGAAGTCCTGAACTCTGGGCATTAAAATCTCCTATAAAAATAGAATGTTTTAAATGATTAACATTGGAAAATTCAGGATGGTTACAAGGAGGGCTGTATATAGCTAGAATTTTAAAAAGAGCTCCACATTTCCAGACATCCATATGTACAACTTCACTCTTATCACCATCAACACCCATCTCTTTTATGATGCAAAAATCAGTTGTTAAATCTTTCTTGACACCAATCAGTATATCACTGGCAAATTTTCTAGATTTTGTAAGTGCATGAAGATAATATCCTTTAAAAGGATGAAATTTTCGGTTTTTGATATTCAAATTAGCCTCCATGATAGTGAAGACATCAATGTCCTTCTCACATAGGATCTGCAAAAGCTCCGCGCACTTGGCTTGGGACAGTCCGCCAGCATTCCACTGTAACACTCGAAAAGTATTAATCTGAGGAGGAGGATTGTAGATCTTTTAGTCACTATAAAGTGTTACCAGGTGCACCACGAGGAAGTAGATCTACAGCACACCTGGTGTGAGAACATTATCGTGCTATGATTTTAAAGTGGGATTAAATCAAGAAGAATGCATTCAATGTCTACAATTAGCATTTAGAAATGAAGGTTCATATCATGCTACTGGATTCAAATAGTTTGCAGAATTTCACAGGGGTTGCAACTGTCTTCAGGATAAAGAATGCACAGTAATCCTGGGTAATGTGACTGCCATCCAGAAAATGTTGATTAGTGATAATTGCTGTACCTGCCAAATAATACAGAAGGAACTTAACATTGGATCCACTGATAAACATAAAATTATTCATGAAGCATTAATTTGATATGAAAAAACTAATTTGCCATTGGGTTTGCCATAATTTCACATGTTCGCTGCCGATCACAGACTGGCACGTAGAGCCAATCACACTCTTGCGCTTGGCGTGGGGTGATGTCTCAAGTGCCAGTCAGGAGAAGCAAGCGTACTTATAAAATTCAATGCTTAAAGGCTTAGTAATCAATGTGGTACACATAATAATCTTTTATTATCTCTTTTAAATCACATTTCCTAAAATAAGTAAGTTGGCATATGGGTACAATATATTTCTATGACACAGCATTAACTATCAATATAACCTCACATCACTGGCAGCTAAAGTGTTAACTGAACATCAAAAAGAGGAGCATATCAGAATCAGTAAAGAAACCTTTAATTCTTTAAAGATGGTGGCCACCACGTTATTTCTAAAATCGTAACTGGTGATGGAAACATACATACCATCTTTTTATGTAAAAAGTGGATCTTTGGACCCCATCCCATAGTGTGAAAAGACAATGTGCCATGTAATGTATGTCATTTTCTTAAGTACTGGACTGGTCAAAGGCATCAAGCTGGAAGGATAGAAGACAGTCACAGCTAACTAGTACACCTTAAAGTTTTTTCCAGAAATTCTTCAAGAAGTGAATGTCAGAGGAGTCTTGTTCCACCATGACAATGCATCTTCTCATATAGCAAGATTGACAGTTGAGTTTCTTGAACAGAAACTCACCAAAGTGATAGAACATCCACCCTGTTCACCCTATCTAGCTATGTGGAATTTTTCAGTTTAAAAGAGAACTTACATGGACATTCTTTTCATTCTGAAGATGAGATTGATGAGGCTATCAATGCATTTTTTTGATCGATTCCAAGAAATAAATGGTTTGAGGCATAATCTTTGGAAAATTCACCTACAGAAGTGCATTGATGCTGGAGAAGACTACTTTGAGGCACTCCTAAAATTTCATAAGTTAACTTTAAAAACCTATGTGTATCTCAAAAATTTCAGAGTGACTCTAGTACATATTCCCTTAAAAAAAGGGGGGGAAATCAAATATAACTAACACAATAAAGATTATTGTAGACATACAAATGAGGCTAGTTAAATTACAAAGAAAATGAAAGTGTATAAATTTGTAATATATTAACCCTGCATATGAATAAAATATATAGTAATATAAATAGTTTCTTAAATTTCTTCCAAATTTAAGAAACATTAGTTTCTTTCGTTTCTTCCATTTTAGTATAAGAAATTGTCCAGCCAATTATATGTGCTGTACAAGATGAATTGCTTACCATTTTTGCTGTATTTCAAACATGGCATCAGAATCTTTGAAAAACTTTTCAGTTTCATACTGTGCATGTCTTGTGTGAATATTGTAAATATTACAAATATCAAACACCTTGTGATATATTAGAAAAAATCTCCACATTTCAAACTTATACTCGTTGAAAGTCAACTGTATATTAATCATCCATTTTCTTCCTAAATGTTTTAGTTTAACATTTTCTTAATTTTTAGATTGCAAAGAAGGGAAATTTTGTCCATCCATTGAGTGATTCTCTTAAGAAAATATTTTATAGAAATCCTGCTGCGCAGTGTATAGTTCCTTCATTACATCAAATATTTCTATTAGTTAGGTAAATTGTAATATTGAATGCTTTTGTATTATTTTATAATTTAATTAATAGTTTTGTTGTCTCTTGCATCAAAATAAAAGTGTGGTTTTATTGTCTTCTGATTTAGAACTTTAAATGCCCTTCATGATCCAGCAATCCAGGCAAAAATTCATCCAAGTTTCTTACGTGCCTTAGACATCAGTGAAACAGATAAGTACAATATTTTAGGTATGTATATATATTAACCTTTTTTGTAGTCTGTAATTTTTATTTAATGTGTAAAATATTAAGATGCCCTAATTGAAGAAAGCTGTAATTTCTTTCCTCCGATATGCATTCTTTTTTAATTTGTTTCGAAAGAGATTCAGTCTCTACTATTAAATAATGAAGAATCTATATGTTTATTTGTTCCTCTTGCGAAAAAAATGCTGTTTTTCTTATATAGAATCTTTAAAATGTTGCACTATTCTATGAAAATGATTAAAATTTTTATGCTATCAAAAAATTTAATTTTTCATAGTTATGTTTAATAAAATTAAGTAACGAATTTAAAGATTTGTAATTATTTTATTTAGGGAAGAAGGTTGTTAAAAATTATGTATTTGAATTATTTTTTAAAATATCATTGAATTATTATAAAAAATTTAGTAATGAAATTAAAAAGGGTGAAAATAATTTTGAAATATTAGTATAGAAAAATATATCTAAATAGTGTATTGAGTATAATGTAGAAAATATTTAATATTTTGATACTTATCTATCATATTATTTATGAATATAGAAATCGAAAAATTTTAGAAAGTAATTCAAAACAAATGTATAAAAAAGTCATTTGGAATTATGTAATTATTAATTTGTATTAATTTAATAATGTTAAAATTTCTGTATAATTTTATGCTAAATGCAGACTATATTGAGGGAGTACTGATTCAGAAACAGAGGCCTATTATTACCTCTGCACACATTGCTCCTTTCACCCCCTCATACAATATGATGCTGATGGCTCTCATTTAATGATTCAGTGTAATTTTTTTTATATATATTATAGCCCAGAAGGGCTATTAATTTAGTTTTGACATTTTGCGTTGAAAACTTTAAAAGTCTGAATCACTTTTCAAATTGTTGCCATCAAATATTATAGCCCTCTATTATATTCAAAGAAATTAAATAAGGAAGAATCTGCATAAATGTATGTATGTTTCTAACGTTGTGATAAAACAATGGTACGCAGCGGGAGAAAAAAAGGACAGTTTTATATCTCCCATTCTACTGGGCCGATTGATGAAATTCAGCTTGCGTCGTAAATGTCTCGGAAGCATGACTTAGGATATATATTAGCTTTATATATAGCATTGTTCTAACATAGGTTTTGACACAAAATCAGACTTTTTATGAAATGACATGCCAGTTTTTTCCATATTTCGATTCTATGACTCGAATTATGCCTCAACATTAAATTTTGTAATATATGGTGCAAAATTTATGGAGAAATGTAAAAATTTATCTGAGTCCATTCTTTACATCTTTGCGCCAAGAATAATTCACTTGGCGAACTTCTTAATTTATAGCAACCTATTTTCCCTTTTTTTTTTTTTTTTTTTTTTTTTTTTTTTTTCATTGTAGATGAGTGGGAAAGAAGTCATCATTCAATAATTTATTCATCTTTCAAATAATTTTAACAAAATGCATAAACCACATTTAGTGTTATTATTGCTTATAACAAATATGCCAAATTTTAAAATGCTCCAATATGTAAATTCACATATATCCTAGGAAATTTTGAGTAAAAAAACTAATTTTTGCAACTATTCTTAAATACATCTACTTTAAGATAATGGTAAAAAATGTATAGGTTATACTTAAACAATTTTTTCGAAAAAGTTATAAAAATTATTTAAAAATACAGATTTTAAAAATATATCATAAAAAATGGGTGAAACTGTATTTGGAATGAACATAAATTTCGAAATGTGAAAGGAAAAATCAAATAAATTTAATAAAAAAAAGGAGATATTAGTAAATATATACAAGATTCAATTAACATGGAGAAACTAAAATTTCGAGAGCTAATTTTTTAAAAACTTTTTGTGCGATGTTACAAAACTGGGCAGTTTGGCATAACTTGAGTCTTAGAATTGAAATACGGAAAAAAAAATTATATGTATATAATTATAATATTTATATTTCAGAAAAAGTCCGATTTTGTGTCAAAATATGAATATTAGAACAATATTGGATATAAATCTAATACAAATCCAAAAGTCATGCTTTTGAGAATGAAAAACGTAAATTGAATTTCGTCAATCGGTCCAGTAGAACAGGAGATATTAGAACTGTTTTATTTTTAGTCCAGAGGGGCTTTTATCCCTGAGGGGCTATTGTTTTTGTTTTGCAATTTTTACGTCAAATCACTCTGAATGTCCATTTCACTTTTTTAACTGTTGCCACCAAATATTATTGCTCTGTATATTTGAAGAAATTAAATAATGAAGGATATGCATAAATGTATGTGTGCTTCTTGCATTGTGATAAAACAACGATACCTAGAGCCATCAAATTTTGAATGACATAATCTTCTGGAAGATAATAATATGGGCATCTGGAAGCCCAAATTTATAATTTATAATTTGTTTTATTAACAATTTCGTATTTTGTAAAACTTTAACAAATTTTTTATTAACAAACTCTAGGATTTCAAAGCAAGCAGTGGCAGTGTTGTACAGAAAAAAACATTTTTATCTCCAGCGCGTGAGACTGTGTAACGGAAATTCTAAATATGTGCTCAATTTTAAATTATTTTGCGATATTATTCTTGAACTGAATTTGAAGTGCAACGAACATGATATTTAATAAATAAAGGAAACACACAAAATGTTAAAAAAGCCCCTTTGGGCCATAATATAAAAATCTGAATTATATATATATATATATATATATATATTATCTTTTTTTGTTGGAATGTAATAATAGTGAAGCTCACAAAATCCAGTTACCATGTGCAAGGAATTGAAGCCTTTAAATTAAAGTTAAGATAATTTATGTTACTGATGAGCATCCCTTAACCACAGATGAACATTAATACATCCTTTAGTTCAAGTGGATATGCCCAAAAGAAAGAAATGTTTGTACTTGAAGAAAGCTCTAGGGTCTTCCAGTTTGTGTAAAAAAAAAAGAGAGAGAGAGAGAGAAAGAAACTAAATCTGAAAGGTTTGAGATTTTATATTGCACCCAAAGGTGCATTTTTTTAACGTTTTGCTTGTTACCTTTATTTATTAAATAGCATGTTCTTTGCACTTAAACCATAAAATTCAATTCAACAGCAATATCACAAAATAGCAATTTCCTTTACACTGTTTCGTGCGTTGGAGATAAAAATATGTTTTTTCGTAGTGTTGCCATTGGTCACTTTGAAATCGGTGAGTTTCTTAATCAAAAACTCATAAATGCTTTACGAAATATGAAATAGATAATAAAACAAATTTTATATTTGTGCTTCCAGATGCCCATATTCGAGTAAAGGACTATGTTATTCAAAATTTGATGTCTCTAGGTACCGTTGTTTTTCACAATGAGAGAAACATACTTATATTTATGCAGATTCTTCATCATTTAATTTCTTTAAATATGATTTAGGGCTCTAATATTTGGAGGCAACAATTTAAAAAGTGATTCGCTGCTTATAGTGAATCAACCCAAAATGAAATTAATAAGCTCTTCTGGGAAAATTGCCCCTTTGGGCTAAAAAAAACTTTAAATGAGATAACGATAATGAAACCATAATTTTAGCAGCATTTAATTAACCATAATTTATTACTGCTATATTTATCATCTTAAAAAGGAATTTTGAAATACGGAAATTGATTGTGTTATAAAATTTTGAAATTTTTTGTTATTATTCAAAATAAGTGATTGTATTTAAAGTTTTTATACTTGTGCTAGTGTGTTAAAAAATGTGAAAAGACTTCTCTGAACAAATATCTCTTTTTACTCTCTCTTTTTACTCTAAAAAAACAGACTTTGAACTAAATACTTTAATAAAACTCTAAAATATTATCAATGTTTTGCAATTATTTTGATCAAAATTTAATAATTTGTGTTTTTAAAATTATGTTTCTCTTCATTTGTTAATGCTTTAGCGCTTTATCTTTTGAAAATTCTCTGTTACCAAGCTTCTTTTTGCTTTGAAGGGGAGGGGAATATGTAAATATAAACTATAAATTATAATTGAAATTCTGTTGGAGAGCTTCCATATTGGATAATTGTACAGTTTGCTTCTACCTGTGTCATCACTAAGATACTATTTTTCTGCCCATTGCAACAACATCTAAAGTGTAACTGTTCTGGAAGAAACTCAGTGTGCCAAGTATTTGTCGCTACAGAATGTTTAACTACAGTAAAAAATATAAGATTAAAATCTGCTAGGACCGCATCATATTGAATTTGACTTCAAAGTTTCTTTTTCATCCTAAATCTACTATAAATGCTTCAACATCTATCTGTAATATTAAAATCATATTGAATTTGACTTCAAAGTTTCTTTTCATCCTAAATCTACTATAAATGCTTCAACATCTATCTGTAATATTCCCAAATCATCATCATCATATATATATATACCATATTTATATACATATATATATATATAAATTTATACAGTCAAAAGTCGTTGATTCGGACACCCACAATCCGGAATGATCCGGACCTCAAAGCTAAAAAACTTTCTGCGCATGCGCCGCGTTGACACATGCGCATAGGCGTTTACGCGTGCACGTAAAAACCTTAACAACTGCGCATATGCATGTGCACAAGCGCAGAATACGTTTTCGCGTGCGCGTTTTATGTATAATGGATGGTATAAGCTAAAATTATCTAATTATCTATTTCAGTTAATGTTGATGATTGTGTTGTTCCTTAATCTTCGAGTTGGGTCCGGCTTATTATTTTTTGCAGACTGTAAGAGCAATTTTATAAAAGTAAACTTGAACTTTCGATTATGTCAAATAGAATTTCCGATGCTGGAGCTCCCAAAGGATCTGCAAAATGAAAGTATGTTTCGATGTCCATCAAACAAAAAGTGGAATTGCTGCAAAAAATGGATAAAGATATGAAGAAGGTGACAGAGAGATTAGTGAAAACGAAAAAAAAATTTCGTTTAACAAGTTAGTTGGTATTCTTGGCACAGCGGAAACTTGTAACTGAACAAGAAATTATGTCCGTTTATAGATTTAAAGAGAAAGTAATATCACACAAAACGAAGCAACTTAAACAACTTACATTGAAAGAAATGTTTAATAAAGTAAACAAAGTTCTTTATTTCATAAATTATGGTTTCATATTTTTAATTTTAGATTTTCTGCATGCCATCTTATGAGATTAAATTGATGATTGATAATCCGGAATCGCCGAACTCCCGACGAATCCGGATTAACGACTTTTGACTGTATATATATATATAAGGGATAAATCAAAATGAATATTGCGATACAGATGGCTATAACTATTTATTGAAAAAGATTTTATCTTTAAGATTAACACATAATGTAGAGGGAACTTAAATTTTGTGCATGTACGTCATTGATGTTCTGTGACTTCCCTTGGTCACACGGACAACATCTAGGCTGTAGTCCATTTCACGATATACATTCTGAAGTATTTGTTCAGTCACCGATGCAAGCTCATTACAAATGCATACAACGATCACGCCAAAAAAGGCGAGTTTTGTGTACTACTTTGAGTTCTTCAATTGTTTTGGGCATGAGAGGCGCAAACACCTTGTCTTTCACATAACCCCATAGAAAAAAATCACAGGGTGTCGAGTCTGGAGATCTAGGCCAAGAGTAGAAGAAATCATCGGCAGCTCCACTTCGACCGATCCAACGCTTTGGAAGATGTTAATTTAAAAATGTGTGAACCTCCATACTCCAGTGTGATGGTGCTCCATCTTGCTGAAAGATGTTATCTGTGGAATCAGAATGAAGCTGTGGCATTAACCATACCTCAAGTATGTCTAGCTAAACATTTGATGTCACACTTCGTTCACTGAAGAAAAAAGGACCATTAAGTTTACGTTATGAGATCGCACAGAACACATTAACTTCGCTGAGTCACGTTCATGTTCAGTTGCAGGGGAAGGCTTCTCCGTATCCCATATTCAAATGTTGTACCAGTTAACAGGGTTGCCACGCTACCTGGAAAACCGGAAAAAGTCAGGGAATTCGGAAATTGACCAAAAAATTCAGGGAAAAGTCGGGGAATTTAAGTGTTTTAGTCAAAATCTGGAAAAGTCAGGGAATTTCATACAACGATCACGCCAAAAAAGGCGAGTTTTGCGCCGACGTCAGAAGAGATCACTTTTTTTGGCGAAGTGTGTATCATGTGAGTGTCATTCGGGCAGCTGGCATAGAGCCAGTTTTCGCAGCTCCAATTTGATTGTCTTTTTAGAAAGGCAAAGCAAGTTTCCCGCAACTTTTGGTTTCCAGTAACCTCGAGAATCGCATGTGCAGTGCATGAACTAAAGAAAGTACCTGTTCTCGTATAAAACAAAATGGGTTTAATCCTAGTATACGGTACCATGCAGGTTAGAATCAAAAAATATGTATTGTAAAGAAGGAAAACCTCTCTGCAACAGACGTGGCTCCGTTCCATCATAGCGGGAAACAGCTGTGCATGCGTGATATATCTGTCGCCAAAGCTCGAAACCGGTGTCAAGTTCGAAGGTCACGTTATCAAGAGTTCATAAAATGAATATCTTTTAAAATTTCTTTAAACTCTAAAGGAAGAGAAAATATTTTTTGGCGCAAGTAAATTAATTCATGGATTAGTTATTTTGAGGGGGGAAAAAATCTACGAAAATCTGTTTTTAAAATTATTGCGAAAAATCCAAGAAAAAAACGTTCTTTGATAAAACGTTTCTTCTCGGATTTTTCGCAATAATTTAAAAACAGATTTTCGTAAAGAACGTTTCTTCTTAACACATGTTTCTCAATTTCCTGTACACATCGCGGAGAGGGAAATTCTGGCCGCCAGGTTCCGTCGCCAAATCCCTTGGCAAATTTTCCCTCCGCTTTTTACATAGACGTTCTTTGGTTAGAATAATCTCCATGTATGGTACAGCGGGATTTGGCGACAGGATGATGAGCAGTAAACGGGTCATTTTGTTCTTGGCGACAATTTTCAAAATCATGCGAAGGCCACCATATACCGTATACTAGGATTTTACCCATAATTTTTTTTTTCTTTTCTTTTCTTTTTTTTAATAAATACCTTGTCATTTTGCAGTAAAATAAAAAATAGTAATCAATCATCTAGGATAACCATGTAATATAACTATATTCTGCGTAAATTATCGTTTGATTATTCTAATTAAATTTTTAAGTAATTATCTTTATTTTATGTTATTCATATCATTTAATGTTGCTTCTTTCCTCTAAATTTATTTATCATTAGTAAATAATATTTCCAAATTTCAGGAAATTTTCTCTGGCATAATCCTGAAATTAATTCTAGCAGTATGATGACATCACAAAATTTAATGCACATATTTTTTCCTTATGTATGCTGTGAAATAATTATAAAATACCTCAATTTAGTAAAAAAATATCATTAAATAGATTTCTTTCTTTCGTTTAGCTGCAGAATGTCTGCAAAAAAAGCTTTATTTTATTCCAGATTGGACAGATTCTAATCTCAATCTTCAGTGGAGAAAACAACTCCTATTATAATAATATTTGTGTTTTCAAGTGTTAAGGTGTCTTTTAAGAATACACCTCACGCAAATTAAATTTACCTAAAATCTAACCTAACTTTTAGCATTGTGTTGTGATTTATAAGAACCGGATTAGCCTCGTGTTGAACTGGGGATGATCATGAGTAATAATTAAATAAAACGTACAGTTGGTTATCCAATGTATATATCTTAAATTTTATTAAGTTTTTTAAGCTGAAAAGTAAACGAAATTATCAAACAAAGTGTACCAAGAATAATTAAGAATAAATGTCCTCTGTGATTTATTGAATAATTAAGTGAATTTGCTGCAGTACAAGTAATACCATAATTAATTTACCTCTTAGCACAGCCAATGTACATTACGCAGATAGACAGGAATTTTCTCGAAACATACCTGGAAAACCTGGAAAAGTCAGGGAATTTCATTCTCTTGTTTGAGTGGCAACCCTGAGTTAACCTTCCCACTTATCTTGAAAGTTAATTCATTGCTAAAAATGAGACGATCAGCCATTGTTGCATGCTCCATGCTTTCCAGCATAAACATAGCGTAATTCATACGTTTGCCTTTGTCTTCCTCTTTCAATTGCTGCACAAGTTGAATGATGCCACAGTTTTATTTGCAGCTTCATTCTGAGAACATGCCATACCGTTTTTTGTGGCATTTGTAACTCTTTACTGCCTTTGTATATCGATTTCCGTGGGATTCGTTCATACGTGCGACAAATTCTTTCTGTGTTATCTACTGAAGCACAGGGCCTTCCACTACTTTTCCCTTTGCACAGACATCCTGTTTAAACATCCAATGCCATCTCTGTATGTTGTTCGCATTTGGAGGTTCTTGTCTATAACGCTGACAAAATCTTCTCTGCATTGTTTTAACAGAATGACATTTTTCAATTTCTAACACGCAGAATGCTTTCTGCTCAGGACTCGCCATTTTTACTAATGAGACACCCGCAGTGAACAGGTTTCTTGTCGTTGCAAAGTTTCAACTCGCATGTGTAAGCTTCCGTTTCACTGCACCTTACGTAATAAATTTTTTTATTTCTGTCTACATTCTGTGTTACCGTTATCGATAAATTCTTTTCCATTAAATAGTTATATTCATTTGACTTACCCTGTATATATATTTCATCTTCGTTCTGAAGTTACATTGAATTAATTTGACTCTTTTTTTTAAATATTTTAGGAACTGCCTATATAGACAACTTGCAACGACCAAAAACCATAATTGAACGCATGAATACTTTCATTCATTCAGCTTATGATAGTTGGTATGTATTTTTATTATAATGATTTTTACTGGTACTTTTTAAAAAGAAATTGTAATTGCCATTTTTAATTTGAAATTACCCTAATATTTGCAGAACTAATTTTAAACAATGCAAAAATTTTAAGGCATGTATTTTGGGGTGGAGTCTTTTTATGTTAGCTAACTTTTAAATTTGTACAGAAATACCATGGAATTCACTCTTGGTTAAAGCCAGATATGTTTATTTTATTAACAAAAAGGAAATTAAAAAAATTTCATTTCAATAACAAAATGTTTAAATTCATAAAAGTAAGATATTTTGAAATGCAGGCATCATGTTTCATTTTTGAAATGAAGAATGGTATTTTCTAACATCATCATTTTAGCTATTATTAATAGTTTAAAAAATTAATTTAGTTATTAAGCAAATAGAAGCAAATGGAGCATGCAAAAGGTTACTGGTGACAGGTAAAGATCTTATCATTAAAATGTACCAGATGGCCTTTCCCCCCACACACACACCATAAGAATTTATATTATTCTTTATTCAAAATAAAGTTTTTTTTTTTTTTTTTTTTTTTTTTTTTTTTTTTTTTTTTTTTTTTTTGTAAATTTATAATTCATTAAAATATATATGCTATTCAGGAACTTATTTATTGAACCTGATAAGTTAGTACGGCATTTAAGAATTCCACAGAAGACTGTGATGTGATTTCCATGGTGTGCACACAATATTTGATTTCGACTCAAGAAATATAAAGTCAGGAAAGAAATATAAAGAAATAATTTCAGCCTTATTTGAAAAATGTTTGGCTTATCAAATGTTTCGAACACAAATTTTGTTGTCCTTGCCACGAGGAATTTTGTGGGCTTGGGCTGACTATGTCAGACAAGTAAGCATAAATAACAACAACAACATAATACTGGAAGAAATGTTACTATGGACAATTTCTTTACTTCGTTTAATTAATAGAAATGTAAGAACTAAAGGTTGATGTTGATGTATTTAATTATGGCAAAGCACACGAGGGCTATCTGCCTAAAGGGAGGGATGCCTTTCGTGGAGGACTTTCTAAGGGAAACTGGCTCGTATACACGTTACACATGGGGAAAACCACGAAAACGCCCATGCAGCCAGCCCGTTCGCGGGATTCGAACCTCAGACCGAACTACCAGTGTTCAGCGTCTTTACCGCTCGGCCGCTGGTGGGCCAAAAAAAAAAAAAAAAAAAAAAAAAAAAAAACAGAGCTCACCAGGCGAGTGAGCGAAGGGATGTATGTATGTTCGTACGTTTGATGCGGCCGATTGCAACAAAAAGGGGAGGTGCTCAACTAAATGTTATAGTAGTCCAATATGCAAAATTTCAACATTTTCCGGCTAATCCTTTTTGAGTTGTGCGAGATACATACATATGTACGTACGTACAGATGTCAAGAACAAATACCTCTTGAACTCATTTTGGCAAAAAAAGAAACTTTATTCTGTCCGTACGCACAAAGTCATGCAAAAACTTCTTTCAGTTGCATTGGAAAGCGGTCAAAATGTATATTTTTGTTGAAATATGATATGAAAAATAATCATATATACTTCCTTTATTTCATGCAAGAAAGTAAAAATGAGTTTTAAAACGTTTTATGAAGAATTATAATCCTGTAATAAAAATTAATTTAATAAACTAAATTACAGCATATTTTATTTAAAAAAACTTTAAAAATGGCAGATTTTTTTCCCTTTAACTAGGTTGGGGTCAAAATGTTCGCATAATGTAATTAGAGGTAGACTGAAAATGCAGTAATGCTAATGTTCAGTTGTTCCTAAATGGACAGACATCAAATATAAAAAAAAAACTATGTTATACTTGCATATCCTGTATTTTCTTATTTAACGGTTAAAATAACATGGCTATTTTCTGTGCTATAACTATATTTTAGATGATTTTACTATGCATGTTACAGTCTATTAATGTAATTTTACTACCTCTTTCACAGTGGATCTTTCACATTTCCACTTCTCAACCTTTCCTATCTCTTCAAAGTATAGTATGTCACAGTCATTTACTGCGGAGGAAAAAGTCTACAGTATAGTACATAATGTAAGAAAACACAGAATGCAAAGAAAAAAAAATAATAGAACATAATGAGGCATTTCTGAATATAAACAAGACGAATTGCACACGATTAAAGAGGTTTTTTTTTTATTTTCCTGCGCAAGCTTCATGAAAGCTGTATTTACTTTGTGGCTCGTGTTTATTTACTAAAAACAAATAATCGTCGTAAAAGAAAATAAGTACTTTATTTAAAAGATCAAATAATAACAGTGACGTGAAATAATACTATTTTACATAATTCTTCACATCATGGGAGCACATATTCATTCTTTTAAAGCAGTAAACGCTCAAACTCGGGTCTTTGGCTTTCTCCTTTTTGTCTTTGGCAGTGGCGTAGCAAGCGTAACTGGCGCCCGGGGCAAAATAACTTTTTGGCGCCCCCCCACAAAAAAAACTTTCAGTAATATAATGTATGGAATATATTCGTAATAAGAAAATAATGCAAATAATAATAAAATGCTGAATCTGCCATAAAATACTCAAAAATATATAAAGATTAGTCACTACCTAACTGCACTAGCCTTGAATTCGGAAATGCATCTGTGTCGGCGGAAAAATCTGACCTACGATGATCTAGAATTAGTTAAAAAGGTGTTATTTATTTTACATATTTATATAAGTGTTTTTAAAAAGTACAGTTTTTAAACAATTAAAAGTTTAATATACATTATAGATACACAGATATGTGGCAACTTACCTACTACAACTCAACTCTGCCAGTCTGATAACCCATAGCAACCAAAAACAAAAATAATATTTGTTCCATTCAATTGTTATAATTGTTTAACGATCTGTCTCAAAAAATTGTACTACCATAATTGGTGACACGTATTTATTACGAATGGCAACCTTCAATGTTGCACAAGTATGGAGTTTATATGTCTAAATTCTGAGCAGCAGTAAGTTATCCAGTGTGATGAGATGCACGTAAGACATTCACTTGTCATTTCAAGCTTTTTGCCGCATTCCGGTGAGTCAACATATTTCTGTCATAATTTCAGCGGATATATGTATCGTCTGCTGCATTTGAGCCTCCAATTTCTCTGATTTCGAGTACCAAGAAACTGTGTCACTATATACATATTCATTATTTTTCTATACATATTATTACTGTACATATTTGATTGATCTAAAGTGGTTGACAACGATGCTGCTTCACAATTGGCGCGAGTGGCAGTTAAGCCACCATCTTTTTGTCGCCGAGACCCTCGTTATGGTTCATTCAATTGGATGCGCAGTTTAAATTGAGTCACATTACTGCCGACGAAACTCAATGTTATACAGTGATCGCTGCGTTAGAATCAGAGGTACTGCAATCAGCTCATGAAATAATTTTGAATCCATCGGACGACGGACAAATACAAATCTTTTTTAAAAAAAAAATTAATTTCTGTTTATGAAGAATCCGAGACAGTTAAAATCGAGCAGCTGTTGCATGATTTACGGTTGGGTGATATGAGGCCTTCTCACTTGCTGTCTAAAATTGTCAGATTTAGTCGCCGGTAACCTAACGGATAACATTCTTAAAACATTATGGATGAATAGACACCCATCTTTTAACATGCAAACCTATTTTAGCGGCCAGTAGCGAGCCACTTAAAAATCTTCCCGAAATCGCTGATAAAATTCACGAGATGGCCATTCCAGCGCAAATACACGCAGTGCAGGCTCCTGGTCCAGGTATTGTGGCGTTACAAGCTTATATTGATGATCTGTCCAAACAAGTTGCTCAATTAGTAGTCATCCAAGCTGAACCTTTTCAGCGCAACCGCTCCGCATCACGTGGTCGAAATACACGCTGTAGCCAACTGAGGAAACGTTATCAAAGCCCTCCTCCGAGTCATAATAGTCATAATACAGGGAAGACCCAATCCTCCTAGTCCCATGACCATATGATTATGAAAGGTCGACCCCTTCAAGACCAAAAAAAAGGAAAGAAGAGAGAAAAAGAAGCTAATTATCTAAAAATAATTGGAGGTTAATTAAAAATAAGGAAGAGACATACAAACAACGAAGCACAACACCAACATTCAAAATCCAAAAACAATGAAAAACCCCACGAGCAAACAGAGTGGCTGAAACTTTCAAGAAATATTCATTCACATGAATTTTCGGAACAGCACAGGCGGTCCAAAGCCATCGAGGAATTCCCAATTTAAATAACCTGCAGAAGGTCAAACCGAATTCCCTACAGTATTACCTTAATAGCATATTATTTGTATAATCATAATTCTATTTAAACTATTCATTTATTTTAAAAATTTACTTTAATAGTCCTACTATCTGAATTCAAATGTATTAATTATCCTTAATAATCATAGAAAAAAAAGCTCCAGGACTGCCAATAACCGAAACTGGAAAAATTTAAGATTGCCATGTATCATATTAAAACCCTAGTAATTACTCTATTAAGAACAGAATATAAGAAAAATTTTAAAACTTTAAAATTTCAGAACATTTTAAAATCAAAAACTACAATTAAAAAAATATAAAAATTCATATAAAATTTAAAATTTAAAAATCAAAATCCTAAAACTCAAAACCACTAATTTCGATAATTTAAATCTGGTAATCCATCAGGATTCTCAACATTTGCCAAGGCCATATCTATGTAACAATCAACTGCATTTCTTCGAAATACCGCATGTACAAAACATCCACAATGCATTAAATAAAAACACTACACGGAAAAATTTCAAAATTTTCGTAGTAAACCTATAAATACTCATAACTGAAAATATAATACATATAATCAAAAGATAAATATACACAATACTAAACAAATATTCCAAATTCAATATTAGAATTGATCAAATCCATTGCACATTTAGAATATGTTTTTACGATTTTCAAGTTCCATGACTTATCTCCCAAACATTTCTTTCTCAAATTTTCCAATAAGGAAGATTCAAGAA